TAGGAGTAGCATTTTAAAGAAATTTCTCTGAACATTCTATTTTAGTAACCATGGCAACACTGTTCATCGAAATCAAAAACCGATGCACTATTTTATCTATCTTAGTGTAGTCTACTTGTGTGCCCAGTTACCTATTTAAATCAGACCAAAACTGTAGGAGGAGTAGCGTTTTAAAAAAATGTTTACAGACAGACGGACAGCTAGACAGCTAAACGGACGGACAACGGACGCATTACTATCGCATAAGCTCTTCTGGCCCCGGGATCATGAAACATCATAGCTTAAGTCAAAAAATGTCTTAGATGCTGAACTTTTTTAGAGGTTAAGCAGCCGAAAATGAAAATACTTTCCGATTTTGTATCATCAATCTGCTGTCATATGCAAATTAAGAGTTTCCTTAAACAGGTTTTTTTTTAAAGATTGTAAAGATGATAGAAATTTTGACTTAAGTCTAGGTCTGTTTCATGATCCTGGGGCCTGGTCTCTGACCAGTAGAGCTAAAAATTACTGTTTCCAATAATGCAATCCCTACTTGTAGTTCAAATGATTTTTTTTTCTATTTTTCATAAAAAATACTATCATATAGGGCCTATAAGATGATATAACCAAATTGACATGGATAATTCAAATAAAATGGATATTTGCTAATCCGAATTTCCTCTATTTTTCTTAATTTTTTTTTTTTAGGATTTATTAGTTATTTTAATATGCTTCCTATAAATTAAGATTTTCCAATTTTCACATATAGTAAATTGTCACATAATGGTACAAAATGACACAAAAACTTATAGTTTTGATCGTTTACTAAGAGAGAAATAACACTTTTCACGGATTTTTTTGCTCAAATCTGTACTTAGATTTGAATCATTTAAAAGCAAACATAGTTCTAGTATGTGTGAAAAATCTTATTTATTTGATATATTTTGAAACTTTAGTCCCTTATTATTAATTTAACTTTATACTGAAAATTTCGTCTACTCTTTGATTGCGTTAAACTTATATCTTAATTCAATGTTCTATAATAATTTTGAGAGACAGAAAAGAAGATATTTTCATACGCCATCATTCCGCCAAAAATATAGTCCCTGCTAGTTTTCAAACGCAGTTTACCATTTCTATTTCAAGTTGTATAATTGTGATAAGGAGGGAAATGTCTTTTAAACCTCTTGCATCTAAACATATAAGACATATCAACAAATATACTTTGAATATTCCATCTAGCCAGAAACCAGAGAAGAATCCTACTTAAATTGAATATATATTTCTTTAATGTTTTGGAAAGATTAGGGATTTTTAATTCTCCATTTTTGGATGCCCTCCCCTTTACTTGGAAAATTTTGCCACAGACTTGCTTTATATGCAACCTACTTTTTTTTTATTATCTAGATTTCATGTGCTACCCAGGGACTTAAAGTAACTGAAAAGTGTCTGAAATTTAGACAGCTTTTTTTCACTCACGGCTGAAGTTAAATAGCGGAATATCCTTAAAACAAAAAAAAAATACTATGGAAAACTATATAGTTTACTATAGTTTAATATAATTAACTAGAGAAGTAAAGTAAAAACTTTGGATCTTTGATTTGCTAAAGTGAAAACTTTGGAACGTCGAAAACCACGGTCAAAATGTACGATCCTCTACCATTCTAGCCGTAGTTGCATGATGAGAATATTTTGTAGCTCATTAAAGTATTAATTAACCAATGTAAGTAAAGCATAGTAGTACCTTTCATGCTACCTTTTAATACCCATTCGCAGTGAGCGAAATACTTCTGATGAATACTAGTATTAATGGACTTTTACGAGAAGCACTGACTTCTACAATTGACATTTACTTGGACATTTAAACTTGTATCATGTACGGAAGTACAGAATTGATAATGCATAAGAACACCTTTCTTCTGGTCATAGGTATGGTGTTAGGGGCACTAACATGTGAAGACCGGGAGTTGGGGGTAGGGTCTTTGTCGTTTTCTTCAAGGACAACTTATATGTGCATTGAAATAACCTGTTCTTTCCGTTTAATTAAATGTTGAGCGAAATATTTATATCGTAAAGGAGCTACCGTACATAGCCCTTGTGTAAAAGTAAGTGACAACTGTAAAAGTCAGCGCTCCTCGTAAAAGTCCAATAGAGAGTGTCTCTCTTGTACCGAAAAAAGAACTATAAATTTAAATCTATTTCATTTTAATATAAGTCAGATGTAAACTTAGTCTTATATATCGAAAGAAAAAAATACTACAAATGAAATATGCGTCATTTAGAATAAAAAAAAAACTCTTCAACCTCAGTCAGTATGTATATTGTAATTTGATACATACTAGAATTCAAAATTGATTCTAAAATATTCATGCAGTGATGCAACGGTGATGTATTCAAGTAACACTGCTCACAAATAAAGCATAAATGAATCTTTTTTCTCAAAACAATATATATTATTCTATGTATTACTTGTATTCTTTGTTATACATATATCCTTAAACATAAGTTGTAAATATTGATGTCTCTCTTTTTTGGAATTTGGAGAAACGAAGCAGATTAAAAATACTTTAGTGAAAATTTCGATACGTATATCTGAAACGTTAACAGTGGTATGTGTTAAGCTGTATCAAATCTAAAATACAAAGTTTCGATAAAAATATTCAAATATGATATATATCAAATTAGAAGGAATTTTATTGCTTGTTTGCTTCTGTATTTTCAGTAAAAAAATGGTTCTTTTAAAGGATTTGAATATCATTTTATTTATCCCTTTGTTTGTATCTCTTTCTTCCAGCTATCTGACTGTCTGTCTCTTAAACATCCGGGGCTTAAAGATGTTTCCTTGCATTGACTAGATAGGAAACACAGTAAAACTTCTATAATTACCATTAATATAGCACAAGGGCATATATAAATATTTTGACAAGTGATATCTCATTGTTCAGGAGAGGTGGATGTGTGTTTCTCTTAGATATTACAAGCGATTTCTAAATTTTATATCATTAAGGGTTGCAACTGTAACTGCAAGTGTGTATCATTAAGCGTCGAATATGTCGATATTTGCTTGTTTCATTTAGCGTTGGTGTTGCACTGCATTTGTGACGCTTAATGATATAATTCTGTCATTAGGCGGCGACTTAGCACTAGCGGTTGATGATGTCAGCTATTAATGCAATAATTTATGGCATTAAGCGTTGCAATTGCAACGCTTAATGCTATTTGTATCATTAAGCGGCGTTTTATCATTAGAGGTTGCTACAAGGCAGTCTGCCTGTAAGGAAAATCACAGGATACCTGGATAAAGTTATCGTAGGTATCCCAATTAAGGAACATTTCCTAAACATTTCCTAAATTATACAATTTCAATAAAATTTTAAAGAGCTGGTACTAAGACTTACTTTCATACTTCACTGACGTATTCACTGGGACAAGAAATTTCATTTGATATAAACATATTTGACCTTCGAGTTTGCCCTATCTTCAAAAGGTTTTACAACTTGGTTAAAAATGTTTGCAAAAATGTGTTCAAAATTACAAAGAACACGACACAAAAACCCATATCTGTGCACCAAAGAATTTTAGGAATTTATTACTTACGTCATTGTGTTCAAAATCGGTTTTTAGCTCACCTGATTCGAGGGCTCAAATGAGCTTTTCTGATCATATTCTGACCATTGTCTGTCGCTGTTGTTGTTGGCGCCGTAAACTTTTTATTTTCATATTCTCAGTTTAAGAACCACTAGACCAATTTCAACAAAACTTGCCACAAAGTATCTTCAAAGGCAAATCTTCTTCAGAACCTCTAAAAAGCCACAGTTACAGGTCAAACAACATTTGGTCAAGAAAGATGATATCCTCAGGTAGTGTAGATTCAAGTTTGTTCAAATCATGACTCCCGGGGGTAGGGTTGAGCCACAATGGCTGATTAAAGTTTTACATAGGAATATATAAGATAACATTTTTAAATAATTTCCTCTCCAGAACAATTCGACAAGGTAGATGAAACTTATTTGGATGCTTCCTCAGGTAGTTTAAAATCAAGTTTGTTCAAACCATGAGCCCCACAGATAGGATGTGTCCAAAATGGGCAATCGAAGATTAACATAGAACTTTTTAGGAATATCTTAAAGATCTTCTCAAAAGCAGGAAAGCCATGACATGATTGGTGATATTTATATGGAAGCATACTAAGGTATACTGAGATTGTTCAAATCAGATTATTCGCGGTAGGTGGGGACACAATGTGGGGTCAATTTGTATATAGGAATATATATTAAAATATCTTTAAAATTTTCTGAAGGACACCAAATCCATGATTAAATTTTTTATATAAAACGTATGGATGGTTTAGATTCAGGTTTGTTCAAATTATGACCTCTGGGGTTAGAATGGGGCCAAAATGAGGGATCAAAGTTTTGCCTAAGAATACATAGGAAAAACTCTTCTCCAGAACAATAGGAGATCAATAACTATGTTGGTAAAATCTTTAAAAATCTTCTTCAAGTATGGAAAAGTTAAACAAGTATGATTTATTGATTCAGTGACATTCTCATGTAATAGAAATTTCAAACACCCCCTCCCCAACAAGTAAATTTTAAATACTGAGCTGGCCATGTGCTCAGCTGAGAGATGTGGCCCATAGGCTTCTTATTGAAAACACATTCATTCATACATCATACAGTTTAGCTTGCGTTATGTATCCTTTATTTCATTTAAGTAATAACATTTTAAAGTATTGCTTTATTTAATCTGTATAAATTTGTTAATCATGACATGACACTTTCTAAATAAGTTTTGAAGGAGTTTTACTTGTACAACAGTGTCAGTGAATTTCCTTTGTCATTTTATCTATATTTAGATCTTTTTTGTCTTCATTTTCGGAAAATCGACAATGTATTTAAAAGCCTTGTGATAATGCAGTGTGTATGGGTAAAATGTAGATATTAATAGTACTTAGTTTCGCTTTCGTTTCCAAGAACTTTGAATCCAGCTCGTCACAAAATGTTATTGTTATACGTTTTCAATCTTCTCTTCTCCTGTTTACTTCCTTAATAATATTTAGTCAACACCATATTCATTATTTTAGAATAAAAAAGAAACACTATACAAATATTTTCATAACTGCGTCAAGGGTTATGCTCAGTTCATCTTGAACAGAGGTAAGTTAAAATTATATTCGAATAATAAGTTTTGATCTGTCCTTTTCAGATAACAAGTACCTGTTACCGTTGTTTAGCTGCTTCCTATTTGAGTAGGAAATTATAGGCGTCATTGATTTCTGACCTTTTTTCTCACTTGTGTAACATACAAACACGCAAATCATAAATATATTTTACAAATTTTTTTTTAAAGGTACAAATTTTCCAACTATCAATGTTAAAAGGTTTTCACGGGTGGTGTTTCTAAAAGTCGGTAAGGAAATTGGGAAGGTTTAGTCCATTATTCATACACTGAATTGACGACGAATTTTTTCGTTTTTTCCCAATCATGACAATGAACAAAGGGCGAGTGTGATTTTGATGTTGAATACTGTCCGTTACCTCCATATTCCTCATAAAGTTCGAGACTTAAAGGACGAGCTAGACTAGGACCCGTGGTTTGAGGTGTATTTAAGGAATGTATTTAAGTTTTGTGTGATTCATTGGTGTGTTAATCACATAGACCTGTCACGAAGGCATATTTCATGAAGCGCACCAAAAACTTTAAAAAACATTCCTTATAGTTACAATTTAAATGATTGAAAGTATGAGAAATATACTCAAAAAACAAAACAAAAGTTCGTCTATCCTTAATATATATCATATACTAGTATCACATTTATAAGCTATAAGACACCTATTCAAGCTTCAGTATATAAAAAGATCTCTTTTATTTTTAGACAATTTCTAAGACACCATGGAAGTTAATCAGGAAAAGGTGAACTTAGGATCCAAAAGAAAGGGTTTGTTACTTAGTATCAACACGTATTTCTTTACGTGTATGCTTAAATGGATCAATTATCATTCATTCACGTGGGTTATTATTTGACTTTAACGCATGGCATGAAATTACATATACTATTACATATACTATTACATATACATGTACTTCTTAAGAACTTTCTTTCATGTTGAACCTTTGATTAAATCATTAATTAAAAATTTATTAAATTTTAAATTAGCTATATTGATTATTTACTAATTTCATCATTTAATTGTAAATTAATTTTGATATAGAATTATTGGAATGAATGTTTAGAATTTTATTTATATTAAGCAATTCATTGTACATCAAACCGATTGCCCCCAGGGATTTATCATTAATTCAGTCATATGTTGTTTGTTATATAGCTTCCATTGATGATGAAACGGAAGAAAAGAGAAAAATACCTAGATCTTCTGACCAGACTAGCGCTGACAACAATGACCTTGATTTGAATGCTAGAGTTAGTCCTGCAGAAAGACAACCGGGTAGTACTGAAAACAAAACGCAGAAGAGCAATCAATCAAACGCGCTAAATCTTTGGAAAATCACAAATGAATCGATCAGATTTGAATTCACAGCAGAGACAAATGAGGACGATGATAATTTAGCAGAGAATGACCTGAAAAGAAATGATAAGAAATCATGGGACAAGGATCTACCACTCACGAAAATATTTATGAAAAACAAGACTGAATATTTTAAATATGAAAGCTCAATAAAGAAGCCCGAGAGCGAAGAAAGTGTCGTACAAGAAGAAGTTCGTACAACAGCTACCAGTTCCTACGGAGAAACATCATTGAAAAAAGAAGAACAAGCACTCGAAGCAAATAATGCTGCTAAAGAAAACAGTTTGGAAGGAAAATATGAGACAACTGTTAAAGATGAAAGTAAAGTGAATGAGAAAGAGAGGTTTGCAATAAACCTGGATGTTTCAAATGAAAACAGTGACGACGAATCGGTTGCCGGGGGAAAAGAAGAAGTTGAAGAACAGAAACCTAATGAGTATGTATATAGAATCCTTCGATTTGACGAAACCTATCAGAATGGGCTTAGACCAAAGAATATCTTCTCTAGAGTTAGTCTTCAGCAACACGTGGAGCGGGGAAGTAAGGGCCAGGAATCGAGGTTTATTTCCTGCTGTAAAACTCTTACAGGTATACGGAGGCTAGCGGGTCTGACAAACAAGAAACATCTAAAAAGAGATGTAGTTAAGATCAATATCACCAAGCTTACATGTAGGAACAGAGCGGAAGTCATAGACCTTACGAGAGAGGATATTCGTGCGCGTCATATTTCACGTTCTTCAGACGCATGGGAATATGCAGAAAAATTTGAAGAAGTGATTATTGAGCCGACGTCACATGTTCCCTCAGAATGTGTCGAAAAAATTGGTGTCGTTCATAGAAAAAGTTTTAGTTTCATATAAGCCGTTTATAGCCTTGCGTCCTTATCAGTAATGAGATGAGGTTTATACTTACACGGAATTAAATTTTATATTGATAATCTTTTATGTGAAAATCATTCATCAGCAATCACAATTCGAAAAATTAAAGGAGAGGATGATAAAGTATTATTTAACAGGGATTTTTGTTTAAGATTTCATTAATTAGTTTTAGATGTTAACCTTACAAAAATAGAAGATCATTGTAACTGAAACTGAAACCTTAGCAAGCTTATATGTAAATGAATAGTGTAAAAGTTAATCATGTTATAATTGATTTTTTTTGGTTGATTTATACAAAATTTTTTCCCATTAAGTGAATGGGATCGGGCAGCAGGCAAAGCCTATTTTAGCCCTCTCCCTAAACATGTTATAATTTCAAATATATGTGCTTAAAATGTTCCTGAAGTATTAATTAGCCACGGCTCTGTCTTAAAATTAGTCGAAGCAGTTTAATATGAATATAATTCCTATACTGTAAATTAATATTTAGGTTCATTTGTTTCATAAGACCTGTATATCCTTCATCTTTGTGTTAGTATGTAAGATTTTATGTAAATGTACCGTAAAAATAAAAGGTTTGAATAAAAAGAAACAAGAAAACATTGATGTAACCATCAATTGTCGCCCGGAAAATAAATGAAGTAAACAATGGAAATGAGTCTTGATCATAAAACCGATTCGATATGTGTGAAAAAGGTATGCGTCTAAATGATGGAGACGATTATTGAGAATATTTTTGAAAACTTGTATTCGGATAAAAACGAACAAATCGATACCCTTTTAATCTTTTCAATTCCTCAAGTAAATGTTGGCTGCATAAAATATAAATGAAACCAGACACATGCATAACCTATTTTCAAAAATGTATTTCACTTTTAGAGTTGTGTTAAGTACGTTTTTATGCGATATGTAAAATTCAAAGTTTGAAAAAAGGAACCTCTCGTTTTTTTTGATAGTATGTGATAGGCATCTTTATATATCTAATATGAAAAAAACGTATATTTTTACAGATTCACTTTATGAAAGTAAATATATTGTGTATCTCGTTATTTATATATTAATAAAGGGAAAGAACATTTTAATTAACAATCTTTTTAATCTTTAGAAAATCTTTAATTTTGAATAACTTCTCCCACCTCAATCTCCATACACCAACACTTAAACTTATATGTATAGTGCAGCCCGGTCCGGCCTGCAATGAGAAACAAAAGAAAACGTTGCATTTGTATATACATGTATGCTGCCATGTTTTGTATTTTTATGCTGCAGAAATTATTCAACTTGAACAACTGGCTATATTAAAACCACATTTGGTGCTTTCTTTTGATGGGTGAAGGGAATGTATTTCTTTATGGAGAGTCATGTTGCCTTCAATTGGTAGATAAGAGAAAAATAAAACGTCCATTTATTAGGACATTTAAATCTTGCGAACAATGCACCAGGAAGGTATTTAACTTTGTATCATATTTTCAGAACTATTCTTTCGCTTTTAATTCTTTGAATTGTTTTAGTCACTGGAAAAAAAAAAGTTGCGAAATCAAATCAATCAACTGAAAAAAAATCCTATTTAAACTGACGACTCCCGCGCCTTAGATTTTATCAGGATTGAGGTAAGTTTATTAAACTCAAAATCGGACGGGCATTTGAAGGTCTATCCCTGAAAAGTTGTTGCGTACAATGCATATGATTTTGTAGCTTTGATTATTAACTAAAATGCATGTACTAAAATCAAGATAATTTTAAATTTGAAAAACAGGCAATCATCTTCACACGTATTGTGTAATCATAAATATATCAAAAATAAATCAATTTAGAATAAGATATGTAAACGTCTAAATACATTATGTTTTTCATGGATTTTTTTTCTTTCCTATTCCTTATTTTACAGTCCTATTGTAGAGAGCGAATTTAAGTATTTTACAATTAATTGAATTAAAACATAAATAATATTTATACACATCAGTCAAACTTTCTAATGTCGATTTTCCACTCACAAATACGAATGCTGTCTGTTACAAAAACGATATCGAATCTTTTATCTGATTGATTTTTTGTCAGATTTTCCTTATCTTTAAATAGGCTCTCCTGACTATTTTAGTAAACCCCCCTCTCTCTGTCGTATGCTATTTACATTAAGGTCCTTCACATCATGTGACTTGTGTGACGTATATGGGTCATTTTCAAAAAAGTCCATTTTTCGAATGATGTATTTTTGAAAAATGAAAGTGGTTTGACTGTTTTTTTCCAACTCTATTTGAATAATACAGTATTAAACTACTAAAGTTCATCGCATTGCAAAATTAAAAGAAAATCTTAGTCATTTAAACTTTAATATCCTTCCTGTTACTTTCATAAAAAGAGCTTTAAAACTCTGTTTCAAAATGTTCATCATATATTATGTTATTTGTTTGTTTTTTTTTAATATCGTTGAATGCCAGATGCTTGACATTAATCTAATATATGACCGTTTAAAAGCATGTCAAACTACAATATACCAAGCAGAAGCAAAATCTACGGGTTTCTCTTCATGAAAAACCTTATTGCGAAATGTTTATACACTAAAGTTGAATAAATTATAATTGTACATTATTTTTGTAATGAGAATAAACAATTACAGAAAGTTAATTGAACATATGTTCTGCCAAAGCAATTTAAACTAGGAAAATATACTGGTAACAGTAAGGCCCCGGGTAACAGGATGGACAAAATAGTAACAGCATGGACAAAACAGTGAAACAGGATGGACAATGAAATCTAGAATTAAATAAAAAAAAATGTTAAATGCATAATACTAGTATTAGTGGGCGGCATAAGTAAAACACCCATTAGATTAATCTGTGAATGAATTCAATTAATATGAGGTGCAAAAGTTGTACATATCAACACAGGGTAATATTTTCCCTTTCATTTAACTAAGCGCGTTTTAAAAATTCTGTTTATGTGACATGGTTTAATGTTAAATTTTACTTGGAATACATAGAAGTGTTTTATAAAAACACCTGGGAGATGATCATAAAACAACTTATAAACTGTATGACCGTGTGTATTAACCAAAGGGAAAACAATTTCACTCTAAAGAATATTTAAGGTCTTCCGTTTCCAACGGAAGACCTTATTGTTTTCGTTCGGTTTCTTTTTCTCTATTATTAAGGTCTTCCGTTTCCAACGGAAGACCTTATTGTTTTCGTTCGGTTTCTTTTTCTCTATATATTATTAAGGTCTTCCGTTTCCAACGGAAGACCTTATTGTTTTCGTTCGGTTTCTTTTTCTCTATTATTATGTCGCCCCGAACGAAGTCGGGGACGACATATTGATATTGTACGCATGTTTTTTTTATCCAGGCTGTTTCTCGGAGATGGCTGGGGCAATCTTCCTGAAACTTTCCTCAAAGGACAATCACTGGTTGTAGTTGTGCAGTGAGGTCGTTCAGTTCCAATATGTCTACCGTTGCCATGGAAACCTGTAAAAAGCGACGAATTTTGTCCGAGAGTGTTCTCTCTGGTCCCTTAAACGTTCGTTATGAAACTATTTTTATTTTAATGATTAGTATCTGTAGTTGTGCGCCTTGCATTTAAAATTTTCAAATAATCGATTATTGCCATGGAAACCAGGGGAGTGTTAAAATTCTTTAATTTCGATTTTCTCAATAACTACTCAAGCAATCGTTTTGAAACTTTCAATGTTAATTCCTTGCAATGTGTCAAAGTGATTTTTAC